ATTTCTTTGTATTTACTGAATTGCTAATAATTTGTTATTAGCTTTCTGTAACACTTTCTATAAATCATTCTATTATTTTAAATCTAAATCTATATATCTATATATATATTTAAATTAAAAATATATTTTGATCAGCCCTATAGATTTTTTTTTAAAGGTAACAGGAATTTCTGTGCTTTTCTTAAAGTGGTGCTTACAAACAACAGCCCTCAGCAGTACAAGCAGGGTTTCATGCTAGCATGTTTATCACTGAGCAATCCGCAGTGAGACCCACCCATCTCAGCAGCAATAGGAATGCTATCGGAGGCTTACAAACCCTTGAAATGCTGCCAACCTGCAGGAGCTGTCAGTGCTAGAAGACGCATCCACATGTGGGCCAAGGAGATAAACACATCAGATCCCATCTAGCTGCTTTGGAGCAAGCTGTTTTGATCTGCCATGATGTGCACTGACACTGAGTCACACATTTTTTATGTTTAGGGTGTCTTTAATCTGCAGTTATTTTTTTGTCAACACCGTGTGCATTTTTAAAGGTATCATGTGGATTGATAACCTTTTGACTTGACTCCTTCCATTTTTGGAAAGACCTCAACTCACATGTTGGTAGTAAAAACAAACAAACAAAAAACCACACAAACACACACACACACACACACACACACACACACACGTACACGGTAATGGCCCATTCTCTCTGAGACAAAACTTTTTATTTAAATCAGCGGAATTATGTCTAAATCTGGACTGAATTGGGCTTGTACACCATGGGTGTTTTGCTAGACGAGTAATGAGGCTTTGGTTCTGTTATGAGCCTTGAGGTGCATACACACAGCCTGATGTGCCTGTTCAGGCCCTTATGCCCACTAAGGTTGTGGTTTGTCCTGGCCACATACATAATCCCAGTTGCATGCATTACAGAAAAGTATATAAAGTTTTTCTGCCTCTTGGGCAGAGCCAGGGTTCGTTATACCAGTAAGGATAGCAGGCTTCACAGCACCAAAGGCCAGAAGATTCAATTGGGAAAGTTTCTAAGAAAACATTTCAAGGACTTTGGATACAGAGGCTGTGACAAAATCCTGAGGGGTAGTGAAACTGCCCTGGATCACTTTATTTTTTTATTAATCCTTTTTAACAAAGAAGCGCTTGAGAGAAGAAAATTGGAACCAGGGCATTATTTGGAGCATGGATTCACCTTTCCCAACAGGTAGGTTAGCTTGTTAGCTTGCCAGTCCCAACATACATAATAGGAATCATGGTTCTTTAGGAAAGGGAAACAGGATCATTGTTAAGATCACACCTCTTAGAGAAATTGGTTCCACATATATTGAATTTCCCTTCCACCACAGTACATTGCATGGGGGAATGATTTCATCTGTTGTTCAAATTCAGCTACCTCTATGGTGAAAGGCAGCAACCTTTAAACCCTGCATAGCAACACAAAAGCAACAGATCAGGATAATACATAAAGAATGTCTTATCTAACTAGAATGACAGTGGAATTTTAGGTTGAAGAGAATGCACCATTCTTTTCCCTTAGCATTGTTGCCATAAATTACAGGTCAAACATCCAGCGCCCTATTCAGATGTCACACTTTGGCTTTTGGTGTAATTACAAA